TGAATGAAGCTTGTAATTGATTTGATATGTAAAAGAAAACACGTTTCTCAGCCCCGGTTAAGACATGGAGTGCTATAATGGAGAATGAGCTCTGGACTTTGAATCTAGTCATCTGGGTTATAGTCCTGGCTCTTTTTGATCTTGAGCAAGTCATTTATCCTCGTTAGGTCTTCCTTACCTTCCCATCAAATAGTATGGTTGGCAGGTACCATTAAAGATCTCTTCCACATCTAAATTCTCAGATATTAGAGAAGTTACGGGTATGGTTTTGACTGTTGGCATGTTGATGCTCTTAGTTTAAGCATTTTAATCCCCATATCCCTATTTTTATTTTGGCAGTAAGTTACTTTAGGTAAAGGGAATATATGTAGTATGTATGTGTTTGTGTAGTGCGTTCTAAATTTACATGAGAATAAAATACAAGTATAGTTTTAGGCCAGCACCATCTGTTATGGAAGAGTTCTATGGGATCTATTCTTAACTCTTGGGAGTGACAAAAATTTCCCTTTCGTTTTCATGATCTTCAGACTCTAATCAATCTAAATATGGGAACGTTATCCCAATCCTATTCCTTGCTGCTTTCACGTTTTCAGAATTCTTTGCAACAACGTTTTGTCCTTTGATGGTGAGCTCTTTAAATATTCAGTCTTTTCCCTTAGGCTGTTGTCTTATCAAAACGGAATGCTCTGGTTTTCAATCTGTTACAGCTATTATTACGTGAGTCATCTTGATATTTACCTTACTTATACATTATGGCTTCTCCTTTATTCATTTGAAGAGTGCCAATATTAACAGGGAACCAAAGGGCAGGAAACCAAAAAGGGAACCAAAAGCAGGAAAACAATTGCAAACATACTTCATTTTAGAGATCGGGTTTTTTTGTTTTGTTTGTTTGTTTAAGATTTTATTTTATTTATTTGACAGAGAGAGAGGGAGAGAGCACAAGAGGGAGAGAGCACAAGCCAGGGGGAGAAGCAGAGGGAGAAGCAGACTCCCCGCTGAGCAGAGAGCCTGACGCGGACTGGACCCAGGAACCCTGTGATCATGACCTTTAGTTGAAGGCAGACGCGCGACCAGCTGAGCCACCCAGGCGCCCCATGTATTTTATCAATAAAATGTCAAAGTGAATTTTTTGCAAATTCATTCAATTGTGGAGTAAAAATAAATATTTAAGATTATGTTGCTATTTGAATCTGAAAAGCAAACTGTTCTTGGGTTTTCTGCATGTTAGATCTACTTGTCAGAAGGGGAAGAAGTGCTGACCATTTATAAGGAAGGATGAGATGAGTAGATGAATGTGATTAAGAGGCTTCTGAGATGGTGAGTTTTTGGCAAAGTTTTAGAAAATAACTGGATTGATGGGGGAAAGAAGGGTATTTTCCAAAATAATAAAATTAGGTTTCTTTCTTAATCTTTTGTTATATGTTAAACCATGAATAGAAAAACTTAGTATGGTTGGTTGCCTGCAATTTAAAGATTTAAAACAGAAGTTTGGGGTATAAGAACTGTTACCTGTCTTTAAATCCGTTGTTAGAGTGAAATACTATACTTAGTCCCAGGTATATGAATGGTACTGAGCATTTCTCTTGGTATCAGCAGTAAATGATGTATGAAACAGATAAATTTGAAAGTTGCAGAGCATAAGATTTAATCTAGTTGAGTATAGATCGTTTACATCTTTTTCTTCATAATTGAGAATGGTTGACTTGGTGCAAAAAAACATAGCTTCTTAGCTGCTATACTGATTTGTATGTCCAGGTATTTTCAGAAATTCGGGTTTATGATGGCTAAAATCAAAGCACAACATTTGGTGACCAATTCCTAGAAAATATGCTCATAAACGCATAGGATGTGCATGACAATCATAAAACAGTTCTTTTTAAAATTAAGGAAGGTACTTTATGTTAAATTCTCAGAATGAGAATTCTCAGAATGAGCCACGCGGGCACCCCCTAAAATGAAGCTTTTAACCTCATATTTTGTAATGAAAATTTTACACTGCTCAGCAGTTTTGCTAAAATAATATTTTATGTTGTAAACACTTAAGTATTTTCGTAATGGATATTCAGTAGACATTCTCTATTACATGTTTGTGACATAGAGAAAAGTAGAGACAGAAAAGGAAGCTTGCTTGATGTCACAAGCATTTAGTTTGTCTTATTTACTTTTACATAAAGTAATGACTTTGGAACTTTTCAGCATATAGATTTGAAATGGATTTGGAATGATTATCCTTAAGCATAATGTATCATCTGTCCTTTTTATGGGACTTTGTTCTTATGCCTTCTATTGGTGGGAGAGGTAAAACAAAGCTACCTCATATTCATAAGGAAGGGGCTTTTACTTTTTCCAAAGTATTTTCTACTTTTTTTTTTTTTTTTAAGATTTTATCCATTTATATGACAAAGAAAGAGAGCACAAGCAGGGGGAGGGGCAAAGGGAGAGGGAGAAGCAGACTCCCCACTGAGCGCAGAGCCCTGACCAGGACAACAACAACAACAGCAGCAGCAACAATAATAATAATGCAGGGCTTGATCCCAGCGCCTGAGATCACGACCTTAGCCAAAGTCAGACACTTAGGTGCCCCTATTTTCTACATTTATTATGGGATTGTTTTTCTGTTGGATCCCTCTGTTTGAGAGCCTCTTTTGGTTTCTTAGGTTTAAGTGCTGAGATTGTAGTGGTTTTGTTGTTTTTGCCTTTGCTTTGTGATTCTCTCACAGAGAATTATAACAAGTTATCTCTCAGGTACATTTAATATATGTGAGGCTAGACAGTTCTCTGGAACAACTCAGGAAAACCTGAACTATTCAAATAGGTATCTTATTTGAATATTGGATAGATAAATTTGTGTAGTAGATATTCATTTGACTATTAAATAGATACCTATTCAGATAGGTATTTACCTTTTGTGTCCTGTCTTCTACTCCCTATTCAGTAAACTAATATTGAGTGTCGTCCCTAAACTGTTACTAACTTATCTAAAGGTTATTATAACAGGGGCGCCTGGGTGGCTCAGTCATTAAGCGTCCGCCTTCGGCTCAGGTCATGATCCCAGGGTCCTGGGATTGAGCCCCGTGTCAGGCTTTCTTGCTCAGCAGGAAGCCTGCTTCTCCCTCTCCCACTCCCCTGCTTGTGTTGCCTCTCTCACTGTGTCTCTCTCTGTCAAATAAACAAATAAAATCTTAAAAAAAAAAAAGGTTACTATAACAAAATAAATTTGCCTTTCATTTTACCTTGTTGGTAGAATCAGTAGGGGGTGGATTGTGATTATCTGACATATTCTGAACATCTTTTAGAGACTAATGTGCTGTATACATTTATTTATTATTTGGAAAATACAGGGGAAAGTCATTAGTATAGACTGTGTTTCTCACATTTGAATTAAACTTGTTACACACATCTATAGTGTTACCCTTAGTGGATGTTCAGTACATATTTGTTAAATAAGGATACTTGGGTTCTCTTTCTAGCTCTGCTACTAAATAGACAGTTCTCCTATTTTGCTGTCCATACCCTTTTAGAATTCAGCTGGTTGGCATTTCACTAGGATAAGTTACAGGGCCAATAAGTACGGGGAATCAAAACACTGAATGTTTTAACAGGAAAAGAGTTGGCAGTGGCATGGTGTGCCACTCCGAAGGTAGAGGATGAGACCTGATGTGTGCTGCCTTGAGATAAAATGGCCAGATGAGGTGGAAAGAGCATGGTTTAATCCAGGTGTCAATCCAGATACACTTTGCTTGCAGCATTAGTTTGTTCTGTCATCGGGAACATAGCCTTGTGTAGGGTATAGAGATTGCCCAGGAACTGGAGTAATGTTTATTTCTGTTATGAATAACCCAAATTTCGTTTGGCTCTGGGCCAGTAAGGGAGTGGATAATTTCATGGCTTTTTTAGAACCATTTTGAGAGTAATTTCTTTTAAATTAGTATTCTTTCTGCAGTTAAATATAGAACATTGAATTTTGATGCACACCCTCTCCTTCCCACCACTCTGTCATTTACTTCCCACCCACTCTTACCCAGGACTCCATCAAGCTTCAAATTTCTTTTTACCAATTTTTCCATCTGTCAAACTCTTTCTTATCTATGGCACCGTATAAGATTAAGAATGGCTCTCTATGTCAGTGTGAGATCAGTGATCATAGCCCAGGTAAGTATCTGAGTGAAAGAAGCTTCATCAGACTTGTTCTAGCCCTACCACTATGTAACATTCTCTAAGGAGCTCTGCTGCCTTTTACAACAAACAAGGAGTGGACTCTTGGCCTCTTTTCTTCTCCTCTAGGTTTGAAACTTGAGTAGGGTGTTGTAATTTTTCTGTTTCTTGTAGTTAGGAACTTCTCCCGTGGTCCAGTATCAAGGATCACCTGTTCAGTACTATTTTCTCCAAAGAGTGAAGCCATGATTTCTGACCTTCTTTCTCACCCTTTCCAAAATTAGCTCCTACGTAGGTTTCAGAGAGAGGCATTTACAGTTCTTGACTGAAGTTCAGAGTGGGGTTTCCTGATGGAGCTGGTGGTTTGACTGTTCCTTTGGACACCTCAGAGCAGTATTTCCCCTGCTAAGGACTTCTCAGTTCCTACTTTCTGGCTTTATATGTCCAGAGTTCTAAGATTCAAGCTAATGTTGCTACTTGATTTTTCCTAGTATCTTACTTCTCTTGTATGGCATCCTTTGACTTTTTTTAAATCCTGCCGTTATTGTCTGATGAAACACTTACTGCTGTTTTTCTAAGTAATTCTTAAAATCCTTTGGAGAAGGCATATGGAGTTGAAGAGTTACTAACTTGTCACTAGACATTTTGGATAGAGCCATCTAATGTCTCCATTTGCTCTTATAGTTCTAAAATAGGGGAAATTTCAGAATGCAAGAATTAATTATTAGGCAAATTTCTAGCTATACTTTTGATGAATGAATCAAAGAGGAATGACCAGATAACTTTTAATACATCATTTGTAAATTTTGGTTTTGACGACAGCTTTTTATTTTTCTTCTCAGTCGCTTTAGGTCGTAACCAGCCTTTGAAAAAGGAGAAACCCAAATGGAAAAGCGATTATCCCATGACAGATGGACAACTGCGCAGCAAGAGGGATGAATTTTGGGATACTGCACCAGCTTTTGAAGGCCGTAAAGAGATTTGGGATGCCTTGAAGGCTGCCGCACATGCTTTTGAAAGCAATGATCATGAACTGGCACAAGCAATCATTGATGGTGCAAACATAACATTACCACATGGTAGGTTTGGTGGTCCTCAAGGACAATGGGGAACATAATCAGCTCCTTTCTAATAGCAAGAAACCAAATGGGACGTGTTCATTTTTCTTGCTGTGTATTTTTTTTTTTCCAAATTGGAACATTCCTCTTTCCTTCTTTTTATGTCTTTCAGCTTAAGAAAGATTTACTTCGTGTGTTATTTATTTATTTATTTATTTATTTACTTTTAAGTAAGCTCTACACCCAACATAGGGCTTGAACGCACAATCCCAAGATCAAGAGTTGCATGCTTCACCAACTGAGCCAGCCAGGTGCCCCATTATTTTTTATGTTTTATAAATATTTTTAATCTCAAGAAAGAGAACACTTGATAACCTGTATTTTCCAACTTCCATACTCAGAAATTTCCTAGTTCTTCATCAAGGGCCCTCCACCTGCTGTCTCAGTCTTCTAGAGCTTCTACTTCACTTGTTTTCTTGAGCACTAGAGAAGTAGTCTCAAATTTAGATTTCAGAAGCCGTAGAGACTCAGTGGATGCTCCTTTAGTCATTATACCTTCTCATCAAGCCTATTTTCAGCATGATGAGCGAACCTAAACTTAGAAGTCACATGTTCTGAAGGACAGATTTCTATGATTGCAGCCCTGAGCATTATTAAGAACCTCTCTCTCTTTTGCTTAGGAATGTGACTCTAAGGACCACCATTAGCTTTGAGCCTTTCCAGGGACATATATCTGCTAGACCCATGCATATCCTCTTGCTTGGTCTCCTTGATTAGAAACACTTCAAAATTTTTCATGGTATACTGAGATTTAAGTGTTAATTTTATATTACATTCTTTGCTCTTTTGATAACTGTATTTATTTCTATTTTTTTTTTAAGATTTTTAGTTTATTTGACAGAGAAGGACACAGAGAGAGAGGGAACACAAGCGGGGGAGTGGGAGAGGGAGAAGCAGGCTCCCCGCGGAGCAAGGAGCCCAATGCGGGGCTCGATCCCAGGACCCTGGGATCATGACCTGAGCCGAAGGCAGACGCTTAACGACTGAGCCACCCAGGCACCCCTGATGACTGTATTTATTAACTTTTTCTCTTTAGTTTTTCAAGTTAGTATTTTTCCAAGTTGTCTGTTTAGCTCCTTGTGTAATCACCTACATGCCTTTGCATTGTTTTCTATTCCTTTAAACCCTCATTGTTTCTTTTTCAATATCTCCATTTGTCTGCATTTTCAGAGCACTGCTTTTCACTGTTTAATCATCTGCTTTATGTCCTTTGCCTCCTTTTCTTCTTTTTTTTTAGTTTTATTTATTTAGGTAACTCCACACCTGATATGGGGCTCAAACTCACGACCCAGAGATCAAGAGTCACATGTTTGTTCCAACTGAGCCAGCCAGGCTTCCCTGACTCCTTTTCAAGTAAAGATATTTAACTTAGTATTCCTCACAATTTTCTAAATCTCTGTTCATTTTCTGAATTAACTGTGCTTCCAAGAAACTTTTAAAAATACATATTCCTTAGCTGTTCTGTTTTTTATTATGAAAGCTTATTAACATACGCTTGGGTTAATAACATTTATTGAGTATCCACTGTATATAGATGACTTTTTCTGCACAGGTATGAAAATGGTGCCTCCTACATTTGAAAAAATGTGTAATTGAATGCCATTTCGATATGACTCTTAAGTACTGATTTTCATGGATGGTCTCTGAATTTTTTACCTCGTATGATTGGGGTACATCCTCTTGCTCCATTACCTCTTTTAGGTCTGTATATTGTCTTCAATTACTACCTTTATATAATATAAAGGAAAGAGCCTTCCTTTACAGTTATTTTTATCATCCTTCTCTTTTTAATGCTTATTTCCCATATTTTTAAAGCAGTATTTATTTATTATTTGTTTGTATAGGTTTGCAAGTTGGGAGTAGGGGTGGGGAGTGGGAAAGAATTAATTTATCTGTGATTGTCTTAATTTAGAAGCCTGAGATCCAGAACCTTAGAACTTTGATTTCCTTACTTTGTACTTATCATAGTTACCTATAGGAATATCTGATTGTATTCTATAAACTATGGCCTTGTTTACACGTTCATGGAGGCAAAGTAGCTCTGTTTTATGTAAGGCAGGGGCCTATGTATATTTTATTGGATATGGGCTCAGATCTCTGTATACTTAAGTCCCCCGTTTTTGCTTAGCTATGTGAACTGCCAAGAAAAGTAATGTTGCTGGCAGCCTCACCAACCAACAGATTAGAGAGAATTATTCTTGGAAATTTGATAGGATGAGCTTCTGCTTCCCCTCTATGTCTATTTTCTGCTTTAGCATAAAGGAATCAAACTGATGTCCAATCTCTCCCTGTTCAAAGCTCTATAATAACTTTCTGGGAATTACTGTCATTGCTACCTTTGATTGAATTCCCTTGTTCATATTTGAACCTTAACAGCATTTCTTGGATGGACTTTTGAATTGTGTTCCCTCATGTACTCTAACTCACCATTAGTTTATAACTTAGCTATTTAGCTACATGCTTTTACCTAGACCTACTCAGTGGTGTTACTGAAATTTCTTCCATCTTTTTGGTGTAGTTATATATTTGAAAATTTTACTTGGGACACATTTGGCTGTGTTAGACCCTAAACATCTTATACTTCATATTTTAAGTTTAAAATACTGTATAGGCTTTAGCTATTTAGCTCAGACTTTAGTAATCAGACCTAGCCTTACTTTCTGCCTCTACTGTAGTACTCATGGCTATGCGACTTTGGGCAAATCACTTCTTTTCTGTAAGCTTCAATGCTGCCATCTATAAAATATGGATTATAACTATGTACCATATAGGGTGGTTGTATTGATTAAATGTGATAATAGTAACACATGTAAATTACTTAACCATAGACCAAAAAGCACTTGATAAATAGTAGTGCCAATGATTATTTTTCTTGAACTCTAGCATTAACGAGTAAATTCCTTGTACCAAATTCTTTGATATAATTTGGTCATTTTTCTGGATATATTATCTACTGATAACATCTTTTTCTGGCTTTTGGGGGACTCTGCCCATGGGCATATGCCTAATCGAATTTTGAGATTGTATTGATTCAGTAGCAACAGTAATAACAGATTTATTAATTGGACACCAAAGCATTGATGACATAGTTTAGCATCACCCCTATTTAGGCCCATCCCTGTTCCTTTCATCTGCATCTGTCAGTATTACCCATGAGTATTGAACTGATCTTAGATTGACAATCTGAAGAGATCCAGGGTATACATTCCTTTCTAAGCTTCCTTCAGCCAAGTCTCTCCTTTCTTGTTTTCATCTCATCCTCTGTTTTCTCTTCCCATAATCTTATTATCCCAACCTATCCATATAATCTTCCCAATTTAAATATTATAAAAAATTCTTTAAAGTTTGAAAACTATATGGAAATGTCTTTGTAAATGTTATTTGTATAGGTCTTGTCTGTTATTTTAGATTCTATGTGCAAAATTAGCAAAGACTGTATACCCTTTTCGGTTTAAATTGTATTTAGTATCAGTGTTATGTGCACAAAAATTATATATTTGTCAGTGGCCTTTTTTCCTATGTAATAATAATTACTTACTTTCCTGAGTTATTTTTCAGAGAAACAACCAAAATACCTCCTATCACCCAACGCCCTTGCCCCATGTTTCCACCTTGTTTCTTTTTCATATAGTGATTCCATGAATAATTCTGTTCTTGTCTCAATTCCAGTCTACAGGTTGTATTCATTATATTTCTGTCTTGTCCAAGCACAAAATAATTCCATGCTTTTTAATTATCCTCCTTTATTAATATCAGTGATGTCTTTGGTTCATTATTCTCAAATGGCAATAGGGAGAGTTAGAAGATGGTGTCATAACTACCTGGGAATTTTATTTTATTTTATTTTTTAATTTTTTTAAAGATCTTGTTTATTTGACAGAGATAGACACAGCGAGAGAGGGAACACAAGCAAGGGGAGTGGGAGAGGGAGAAGCAGGCTCTCTGTCAAGCAGGGAGCCTGATGTGGGGCTCGATCCCAGGACCCCGGGATCATGACTTGAGCCGAAGGCAGACGCTTAATGACTGAGCCACCCAGGCTAACTAATTCCCATAACTACCTGGGAATTTTATATGTGTGCATCTGTTTTCACTCTGGAAATTGTGACTCAGATTGAGGATATATATGGACATGTGTATTATGGAAAAATCTCCCAGGATGATTCTGGTATCTGGTACCTCTTTTCCACAGCCTCCCCATCCTATAAGAACTTTATTTTTCATGATTTACACATTTTTTCTCATGGTCCTAAATTTCTAAAAAAGAGTTTCTCCTTTTTCTAATTGCTATTTTGCCATTACCTAAAAATCCTAAAAACATTACTAATAGAGTATTTTGCCAATGAAACTAAGGTTATAGATTAAGTGGTTTATCCAAGTTAGCATAAAAAGAGGGATTTTTTTGTTTGTTTTTCTGTTTTGTTTTTTTTTAAAGGTGGGGTACACCTGGCTGGCTCAATAGGTAGATTTCAGGGTTGTGAGTTCAAGTCCCATTTTGGGTATAGAGATTACTTAAAATCTTCAAAAAAAAGGGGGGGGTTATTATTTTCATTTTTCAGAGCTTGGCCCATAGTGACTATTCAGTAATTTTCAGTTAAAGCTTGTTCAGAAACAATAACCTATTTCATAAAGATGAGCGCACTTAATGCTTTATAGAATTATTATATAGAAGATTAAAAAGGATTTTTAAAATTGGCTACTCCTTCTCTCCCTACTTTCTAATTTTCTAGAAAGGTGGTTGTTTCTTTAGCATCTACAATTAATGTGTTTTCCATCTCCCTCCCAATTCAAATGTAAAAGCTCCCCTCTTAACCTTTCTTGTCTAGGAGTAGCTGCTCACTGTTATTCAAACACTTGCTTTTCTCTTTTTTACAGACTTAACTCCAACTTTGCTCTTGTTATTTCTTGTGGCTAAACATTGTCAGGTGTTCAGTTAGGCTTTTGAAGGTCATTTCGTTTGTCCT